TCAGTCTTTCTGTCGAGGACATCCTTGAAGGAGAAATAATCCTCCATGGGAAGAGTAACATTCCTGGCTAAGTGCATTACAGAATCTAACTGTAGTAATGGATAAAGCTTTGAAAGCCAATGAAAGTAGGGCAGCTTCTTGTCTGCTTTCTTCAATTCCACTTGAAAGTCTTTTCTGGCATGAATGGGAAAGCTGCATAATGTTTATCTAGCTATGGATAACAGCAGATGGCTTGCTATGGAGAAATCTGAGGCTCTTTTCATTGGATTGCCTCTTTAATTACTGATATACGTGGCTCTACTAGGCTGGTCAAATAATGAAGGAGATACATCTTATTCCATGTTGTCATTTTCCTCCAATACTTCCTCCCCCAATGTGGTCTAAGGCTGGGCAGATGGAATTGCCTGATGTGCTGAAACAGTGGTTGTAAACTTGCAGCAGGTGGCAGAGGCACCGCCAACAGAGGCAATTGTTCTGCCAGACCTGCCATGGATTCTTAGAATACTTGTTGCATGAAAGACGCAATTTACTTACTTTCAGCATTCTAGTCTCTAGCTGCATCTGCAGAACAGGGGGCACATTAGCTTGACCAGGATGGGATCAGCCCCACAAGCCCAGCCCTTACCAAAAGTTGACCATGAAAAATGTATTTGGGAGGGAGGAATAGACAGAGAAATATTTATCAGGACAGGTATATGAGTGAGACCTAGACAGAAACCTCCAGCAGCAACGTGCCATGCCTAGCCTCCTGACGCACTTTAACCCTCTCACTGACGCTACTATAAGACAGCAGGGCTCTGTAAACACTCATGCTTGCTATAGCAACCAGAAGTTTGTTTGCCACTTGTTTGCCACAAACTTGAAGTTTGTAAAGCCGATTGTTGGCTTTCTACTGGAAGTGATTCGGGTAGCTCTAAAGACACTCAATCACTTTAGCAGGCCCTAGAATAGACCCTAATGTCTCCTTAAAGAAAACCTGTCACTCCAATGTGCTATCACATAGTGGGCTTGTCAGTCTTCTATGTGATAGCAAAAAAAACTGTAAAGAAATTACAGTTAAATAAAATCAATTAAAAAAAAAAAGATCTTTAACAACCACAGTGTGCATGCAATGACATTACAGGCAGGAGGGGCCACAGCCTGAACAAATTGGTGAGACGCATGTGTGTCAGGGACCAAGTAGAGGGAGAGGGAAGTAAAGCAGGAAGAAAGGATGGCTCACAAAACAGGAGACACAAAGGAAAAAAAATAAAAAATAAAAGGCACAGAGGAAGCAGAGTTTGAAAATAGCAACATGCCCAAAAAGATCCACAAAAGGAACTCCCAACCTTATTGGCACAATTAGTAACCCAAGGATTGAGAATTCATCCAGAAGAGGCTGAACCTGGATGGAAGCTACTAACCAGTGGTAACGGAGATAAGATACCTTAGTTCATCAGAATGTTAAGGACAATAGAGAGAATGAGGGTACACTATCACAGAAACATTTATAGTCCTTGCTAGTCTTTTGAGCAGTTACAGGCTGAGGTACTACAACATGTGTGCTGCAATGTTGGCCCCAGTAAAGTATCTTAACAAAAATTAAGGTACGGCAGAAAATGCCTCTAATCTACTTCCATCTTTGCGGACTTGAGGTAAAAGTAAAGAGACAATCACATACGAAAAAAAAAATACTTTCACAGTCTGACTTTTCTCCATAGACCCTAATGGAAAAAGTTATCACCTTGCAAGGCTGCAGGGAGATGGCTTATCCGTTAAATAATCTGTACTGAGAAGCGCATGGAGGCTGCCATTGCTAACCTATTTAAAATAGATTTAAAATTGCCTAGCTGCTTTCGCTTAATATTCTAGCAGTGCTCCTGTTCTGCATTCTTGTTTCAGGGCAGTGATAAAGAAAATACTTAAGACAAAAAAGTGGAGTTGGTGGTCTGAAGTGTGTTAATAAAAGATATTGGGGAACCACATTAAAATAAAATGTAATTACTTATACTGTTTAAGTACGTTAAGCCCGTAAATACTTCTTCCACTGGGTCTGCATGACAGCCAAGGAATTAGTACTTGCAAAAACAGAAGCCAATAGCAGCTTCCATCCTTTCCCAGCACAGGTTTTCTTTAAAATGTATTTCAACTTTTGCAGTCAAATAGGGACAACACCTATTTTATACGTTTCTCACTCACATAGCATAACTATTCATTCATTTTAATTGCTGCTTGCACAATACATGCTCTATTCTGAAAAACAAATTGTGTTCTCTGTACTGTATTTTACTCTGGAATGCAAGGGGGGTTGGGGAAGCTCATGTTAATATAATTAATTCTGTATCTACTCTGCTGACAGACCCTGTTATTAGTTGTAAACTGGATTTCAACATTGTCTATCCTAACAAAGGTTTAAAGAACTACAAGCATTGTCCGTTAATGAGGGGAAGTTTAGTCTGTCCCTGGACTTTCTATGGGGACAGCCAGAGCTTCCTGTGAAATTGAGAGAGACAGGCTTGTGCATAGGCCTGCTACAGACACACTTAAAAAAAGAACTATTTTTGTAATTGTTTTAGGTATGCTGTGTGAATAGGAACACATACTGTGAACAAATATATAGTGTGGTTTTCTCAAATTTGACTGCAAAACAGAAAAAAGGTTTTGTCTATAAACTTCAACCCTTTTGGTGCCATAGACATAAGCTGTAAATAGACTCCTGGCCGCTATAGCAGTTAGGCGTCCATTAACACTCCCTCAGCCAACTGTCAGCTTTGAGGATTTAGATGGCTGTAAAGCTGCCCAATCACTTATACCCCCTTGCAAGTAGTGATTTGCCATTTGCTCTGATGAAGAGGGTTTATCCCTAGAAACGCGTCAGCAAGTTGATTGCTTTGCCTCACATCTTGGTAGTCTGACAGTTCATTCCAATGCTGACCGGTGTCCAGCCGTCTGGATGATTGTTCTGAAAGCTTATGTGACAGACACTGTGAGTTTAACTTAATTCAGTTTTTTAATGGATGAATAAAACAGTCATCTTGTTTTTTTTCTTGCAAGGTCATGAAACAGGATGAGTTTTAAACAGTCAGCAACAACAGCTCCCATATTTCTGTACTCACAGGTTCACTTCAAGCATCTGGATAAAGTGGTGCTATAATACTTCCGACTCCAAAAGAAGGTAGCTAATCAATGTCCAAAAAATAATGCAACACTATCACAATATTCATGCAGTTTACCGCTAATCTGAATTACATATAATCTCTTGCAGTCAGATTAATCAGTCTTTTCATAGGGCTGCTTATGTTGGCAATAAGTCTTTTGTTAGACATGAGATAAGTGTGGGAAAGGCTGTAGTGGGTTCAAAGAGTTGGAGGTTCTGAGAAACTTGAAACGCTTGACTTTCCTTTTTGCAAGCTCAGATTCAGGCCCATTAAAAATATAGGGATATCGGCAACTACCGTATATGATTTAGTACGTGGGGAGCCATATGCAGAATATGCAGACTGACAAAGAAAATCAGAAAGATTCAGAAGGCTTACTTTTATTTTACTTTATTTATATTGCATAGGATATACATTCAACTTTAATATAAAAACTGTACACTAATACTATTTATAAAAATAAAACACCAACTGGGTAGAAAAACCTAGGAAATATAGGTAAAAAACAATGGTCCATCGAGATTGTTTTTTAACTTTGTACACATATTACTTTGGTCTGGAAGCCAAGTATTATCATGGGCCAGATTTAACAACATATGGCACTGATCATTTCTATTATTGTAAATCCTTAGTGGTTTTTTTCACTATATCTTTCCTGCAAGATTTATTTAGATATAACAGTTAATTTTCAAATACTGCATTTTATAAAGTATATTAATATTACAGCACAATCAGACAGATCTATGTGTGAAGACTTTCATCTAGTGTGTATGTAAAATTGCAACTGCTGTACTCCTTAAAGCAAACCTTTACTTATACTGATGTCATTACAGGTTTAGGGAACAAATAGATATATACTGACCCATGTAGGGGGCATTTTTATATATATATTTTTCTCTTTTCTTTCCAGTTGCCTAAAATGGATAGTAATATTTACCAGGCTATACTCTACACGCAAATTTAGACAATGAAAAAAAAAACAATTTTTTGCAGAAACTCCAACATGCATGTCAGTATTACTTCTAGCTTTCCTAAGTGAGCCAAATTGTTTTAAATTGTGTGGTCTTTAAATATTTCAAGTGCTTGAGTATTCAATGCAGATACTGGAACTTGATCACATTTATAAGAACAGGTAATTTGTTTTCCGAAAAGTATCAGGAAATATATATTTTTTTTTAACAAAACCAGTATAAAGAAATCCCAAATGTTAGGTGCTAGATAAATTTCCCAGCCTGGGTATGTGCCCAACAAAAGGCAAAGAACACGTTTAATAGTGCAAAATCTTTGGCGTAGGAATGTTGTTTTAAAATCAAAGTATAGGTTAGGGTACCCAAGCAATTGGCTGATAAAAGCATGTAATGTAAGACATTTCACAACTGGCTATGTATTATTATTAATATCTTCTGAATGTTCATCATACACCTGGTTTTTTCAACCTGTAAAAACATTTCTAATTTACTAAAAGAATAATCATTCTTTTTTCTATGGATGTTAGTTGGACATGCCTGTACAGTATCGTACTGTTGGCCAAATTGTGGAGAGAAGGCTGCAGCTATATGCAGTACTATTCAAGCAAGTTGGAGTACAATCTATGCATTCAAAGTGGTCTTATGAAAAACTGAAGGGAATCAATATATGCCCAATCAGGCAGGCCGTGCACTACATATTTGTAGGGAGGTCTACAGGAGATTGTACAATCAGACAGTGAAACATACTGTACATCTAGGAAAGAAGGATAAAAATCCTAAAAAGGTCAGGTCAAATACTGGGTGCAAATTGTATAACTTATTGTCTGGTAGTCTTTGCATATTATAGAAGATTAATAGAAACATAAAGGGCTAAAGGAGAAACAAGAAAAACACATTACGTTAGCCGCCTTATTAATTGCATTCTAGTTTCATCAGTGACATCCTCTAAAGCCACTACTGTTGGGGGTTTGCAAGAAATAGTCATTATGCCACAGAAGTCAGTAAGTTCTGCCTGACATTTCAGAATCCCAGACTTAAGTCTGCTCTGCTGGGTAGGATCCTTTTTAAGCTTTTTCATCTCTGGAACTGAAAACCCTATAAGTTTTATAAGGACATCATTACTGATTTCAACATCCATGTAACCAGTTCCATCAGATATTTTAGCCTTTACACTCCAAAAGCCACTGCTGCTTGTGAGATTTCCTATAAGAGTTACAATAAAGGCCTTTAGCTTTATCTGTTGGATTGTACCACTTTTGTCATCAACGAAAACAGACAAATAAGTGAACGGAGGACTATCCAGATCAATGGACACAGACCGACTGGTAGATGGCACATTTGGAGTGATAGCTGTAGGAGTAAATCTTTCTGTAGAGACATTCTGATTTCTATTTATTGTCTCTGTCTGATTCATAGATATCTCCTCCAATTCTCTCTGTATTTCTTCCTCCAAAAATAAATCATCATCTAAATCATATACTTCCTCAAAATCATCTCTTACAATCACCTGATTAGTTTCATTAGAAGCTGGAATGTGGGACTGTCTTGTTCTTGGCATATGTAATTCCCGGTCCAGCTGTGGAACACTTGCGCTGTAACTTGAACTATCGCTTCTACTATGATACCCACTTTCAGGAACTGTGTTGTTGTTGAGTGTTAATTCATCATTCTCATTCAGGCTTGCTAACAAATCTTCATCTGATAAACCTAGTGCTTGCTCTATTGCATCCTGCTGCCTTACTGCACTCTGACCTTCCCCGGTTGTCCTCTGTGGCAGTGTGTTTTCCTCTATTCCAATAAGTCTTGAAATAACTTTTACTTGTGAATTCTCCTCTAAAAGAGCTTCCACTTCTCCACCAAGCACTTTCACATTCTCTGGTTTAAGCAACAGGACACCCAGACGACAATTAATAGTACCCTGTAGCAAAATTTTGGTGCCTGGTGATAGTCCAACATGAAGAGCTGGTACAGACTGGTATTCCATCCCTTGAACATTTTGTGTTCCATCAGACAGCTGCAGCATGAGCATTCGGGATGGTTTTGCTTCCCATGGCTGCTGTGTTACTTGTGTTTTGGCAGTAACTTGGTCGTTTCCATTGCCTCGTCCTCTTAAATTTTGAAGCTGTGAATATGCAGGTAGGCTGACATCAACTAATGAGTCTATCTGTATGGCATAAAAACCATTCAGTTCAAATTTTAGAGAATTCAAGATACCAGCTGGTAACACTGGGAAATCTAAATCTCTTAAATCTGCAAGAAGCCATTGCTCAAAAACTTGTTTATTAATTTCAGCCTGAGATAATGAAGAACCACTGTATTCTTCCAAAATCCAATTAATGCAAGCTTCTAACCAAGGATCTGGAACTTTAACATGCCAAGTAGACGAGAGCCATGTTTTTACTCGAAAAGCATATGTACTCATTTTTGTTCAAAACCTGGAAAAAGAAAACAAGACAGTGTTAAAACGTCCTAGTTTAACATATCAGGAATAGTGATAAGAGGATCAATTTGCAAATTAGGTAGACTAAATTTTTCTTTGATATACCTAAATATATTAATGCAGACTTATTCAATTCAGGAATCATATTTATTTGACAACTGCTTTTGGTGGTGTACCATGCAAAACAGAGGTATTATGTAGTCATCTCATGTTATACCCCATACATCCAAATTACCAACAAGCTAGACTGTCAGTTATTGTACCCCATCAAATTTACTGTGAAGTTACATCCAAAAACAAAGTTGTTTTTTTTTTGTGTGTCTATGTTATATAGAGGGTGGCATTGTATATAGAGGGTGGCAATGTATATAGAGGGTGGCAATGTATATAGAGGGTGGCAAAGTGGTTAGAGAGGGGGCAATGTGTATAGAGAGAGGGGCAATGTGTATAGAGAGGGGAGCAATGTGTATAGAGAGGGGGGCAATCTGAGGCACTGAAGACAGCCCTGCAGGCACATCATGGGGCCTCGGACAGCAGTGAGGACCCAGCAAACACATAGGAAACAAGGGAAGACAGAATACCAGCCAGAAGAAGTAGGGGTAAATAATTCATTAAAATAATTATTATTTGTAGCCTAATGTTGTATAAAGTACTGTTGCAGCAATGCAGAATGACACCCTCTATAGAGGACTACAAATCTCAGCAGTACTTTATACAGAAATGCTATTGTTATATAAAGTATTGCTGGGATGTGTAGTCCTCTATAGCCTGTGCCATTCTGCACTGCTGTAAATATTAGGGCTGCACCGATATATCGGCCGCCAAAAGATATCGGCACTTTTGGCTTAATGTCGAAAGTGCCATTTTTCTGCTGATACATCGGCGCATCCCTGCTTTCTTTCCTCCCAGCTGGGCGTTGCTCTGTGACCCAGCGGGGAGAAGAGAAAGTGACAGCCGGCCGAGCGCTGCGGGAGGAGAGCGCTGTGTTTGTGTTTTTTTTGGGGGGGGGGGGGGCAAAAAAAAATCTTGCACCAGGGCCTTTTGTTCCTTAGGTCCGCCACTGAGTACAAGTAGAAGTGGTGGCGCACCTTCATGCCGAAGGCTTTTCAGACAAGTTAGCCCTACAGGCTGAATGGGAGTTAGACTCTGAAGGCCTATGATTACCTGATGCTAAAGTAGCTGAAGGAGGAAGATGGTATTCCTCCAGCTCTTCTGCAGACCTCCTGCATTGAGGCAGGAGAATACTCTGGCCACCCACGGTATTGCTAATCATGGTGTCAACTATGCTGCCTGTGCATCTGTACATCAAATCCCATGTGAGACGCACACAAAAAAACCCCCAAAAAACACACACATTTACCCTGGGTAGCTTTTTTCTTCTTGACTGGGAAAGCTTTCTTTTTATCAGCTGTGTGGCCCAGGACTGCCTGAGAATCAGGTACAACAAGGAGATCAACTGAAAAAGGATTTCACACTTTGGAAGCAGAATCACTGGTCAACGTTTTTACGCAGAGACTAGAGCTGCAGCTAACGATTATTTTCAAAATCGATTAGTTAGCCGATTATTAGGTTCGATTAATCGGTTAATCGGATAAACAATAAAATAAAGTTTAAAAAATGGCTCCAGTGATAGGACTACTAGTTTGTATTGAGGTTGTAGTCCATCACAGGAGCAAGCTTGGAGCGGTGGAAGTAAAAAAGAAAAAAGATAGTGTGGTGTGCAATATAGTGAAACGGAAAGTGTAAAAATATACAGCAATGAATGCAGAATGGCACCGGCTATAGAGGACTACAAAACCCAGCAAAAGCACATTATACAGCGCAATGCAGAATACCGCCAGACTTAGTTAATGTAGTGGATCTAGGAGAGATTCTGCCAACACATCAGCAATTCAGCCCACTGACTTCATAAGAGTAGAAAATGGTTCTAAAATGTCTTCCTTTGAAGTTCCTGCATCAATACGAGATTTTACTCGGCCTAACCATTATTCTAGGTTTGTGGCAACACAAGTGATTGCAAGGGCAATGTTGATTCCCAGGACTTCTGAATCTATCCTTTTGTCCATGGCATCCTTCAACCTATCCATGTCCTCAAAGGCTAGTTCTGTGTTTAAAAGATACCTAGAAAAAGGTCATATCTAGTTTAGGTACCTTAATCCATTAAAAGTAGAATCGTCTTTAAAAGGGATCCTTCTTTTGAGGATTTATCAAAACTAGAGCAGAATAATCTGGAGCAGTAGAATGTGGAGCAGTTGCCTATGGCAACCCATCAGCTTATCTCTTCAGTTTGTATAGTTAAGATTTGAAAATGAAAGAAAGAAGCTGATTGGTTGCCATGCACAGCTACTCCAGATTTTGTCTGCTTCAGTTTTGATAAATTCCCCTCATTAAGTATTATGGGTTCATTTGTAGACGGAGGTTAAGAGTTCATTTTAAGGGGGTACGTTTTTGGACTTCAGCAAGTTAAATGTCAAAGTATGTGGAGGACTGGTTCATTTACCACTTAGATCTGGGTATCAGCACCAAAACCTAACATAGCTAGCAAGTCTGCAAATAACTAAAGGAGAACTGAAGTCCACATTGTGGTAAGAGGGATTTAGCCATAACATGCAAGTATGCACAGCATATGGGCACATTATGTCAGACTTGTGACGGCTGCACGTCCCCTCACTGCTTTATCTGCAGCGCTTCTTCTCCCGGACTTACTCTGGGTCAGAAGTCCTCAGTTGCCTCGCCTTGACTGGCTGGCTGGCTAGAATGACTTTAATGCGGGAGCTTCATCCTCCTGGTACCTAATCCAGGCCTCTTACAGAGGCGGGGATCATACAATAGGTTGTGCATGCACGGCTGCCGTGTACAATTTTAAAAAAAAAAAAACAGCTGCTAGCAGGCAGGGGGAGACATTTTTTTGAAGAACAGACGTATATGGATATATTTATAAAGGTTTTTACATAGGAGTCGCACAGCTCATGCACAGCTCATGCCCATCATTTACACATTTTTCTAATTGGATCTAATTAGTAAATGTGTGAATCCTAGGTGAAAGTTGAGTTACACCTGCGTGAAAAAAATAATAATTGTATGGACCCTGAAGAATCTCTTCCACCATAAACACCCACTGTTGGCAATTTTACAAGTTCTGCTTTAAGATGAACAGCAGCAGTATTTTTGTCAAAACACCAAAATCATTTTCTGCATCAGCCGAAATCAAAGCAAGCACATGGCATAAGGCCCCTTTTAAAACATATTACTTTAGCATCCAAAATAGGTGAACACATACGCTAACTGTATAGAACTATGTTAATGCTATTTTCACTTTAAATATATGTTTAAAATACAGTATTTTGTAGGTCACAAAATATTTTGAAAGTTTTATGACCAAATGCATAACTTTCAGTATTTCAAATATGAACCTCAAGGGTAAAATTCAATGCACATATCTAACCTGTCTTGCAACTTTGAAGTCAACACCTTCCCTCAAGTGCTCAAACAACACTAGAACAACGCCTTTGTAACATGAAACACTAAGAAAACCAAGTGGCCTACCTATAAAGACTGAAATTAATATTTCTACATTTATGTATTGCCAATAACATTTCTAACAGTTTGATCTACTTATAAATATGCTCCGGTCAATTTCTCAACTTAGTTACACACCTCTGCCAAACTGTACAGTCAGGATAAGCGTTCTACCACTTACTGGATTGTTTTTCTGATACATGGAGAAAGGTGATCATGCTAATTCTGAAAGCACTGCATTGCAGTCTTTTAAACAAAAAAAGTAAGTGTGCCAGCAGTCTGGCTGTGCATGTGTCTAAACATATGAATTTGAGCTGCGTATTTAGCAGTCTGCCTAGAGTTACACTTTAGAAGACTGACATCAAAAAATGATTGTAATCATGTTTAACACATGTGATAATAGTCCTCAGTATTTTTCTGTCTTTGACATGCCTTTGTTTCTACATGCAGGACAAATTGTCTAGAGAGAGTGACAAACTATACCACCAGTAGTGCTTACAACAGTTAAAATACAGTTCTGTTTGAAGAATGTTGCTTAGGCAACCCTGGCAGTAACAGTTTATCCCATACCCTGTCCCATCAATAATTGTTGGACGGCTTGGCCTGCATGTAAATAAAAAGACAAGTATAAGCAAATGTGCGTGAAATAAAAAAGGGATTAAGACAGAATACTAACATTCCATTTTTAAGGCCTGGTTCACACAGCTGCACTACATTCATGCACACTGGTGTGCTGTGCTTCATTGTTAATGGCACCCCAAACACGCCTTGCCAATGAAAGTGCATTGCAGCTCACTACAAAAAACAACAAATAAAAATGCATGCACCTATTTTGGCGTGATCGACAGACTTTTCAAATGTATATTCTGCCCTTAGGGCCGGGTTCACACCGCAAAGTCCACGTTCAGCCTCTGGAACATACTGGAATGCAAACAGGCCGGCTCGCTGCGTTTAGGGGCCGGAGAATGCTTGGCGGTGCATTGAAGTCAACGGCACAGCAGCCACACCCCCCGCTCACAGTGTGATCGCCCGCAACCAGAACGCAGGCACATTGGTGCCTGCGTCCTGTTCCAGTGCAATCTGCAAAAATAGTGCTCTAGTCCAGTCCTTGCAGTATTTTTGCAGATCGCACTAGACCAGCATTCCGGGTGCGAGTGACCTGCATTCCGGGTGCGGGCGATCGCACTGTGGGCGGGGGGGCATGGCTGCGGTGCCATTGACTTCAATGCACCGCCACACCCCCTACCACCCCTGAAGGTAGGCACCCGGCCTGTCTTGCGTTCCAGTGGCCGAACGCTCTGGAACGCGGACTTTGTGGTGTGAACCGGCCCTCACAAACACAATTAACAAGTGACATAACACACTTCAACAGTGTAAACCCAGCCTAACTGCATGCAGACATTAAAAACACGGGTGGGGGGATTGGTCAAACCTGGAGCATGGCTGAACAAACTGAAGATAGAAGCCGATTGGTTG